TGCGGGGACGGCGACCGTGGGGACGCTGTGGGGACGGTGACCAGGACAATGCGGGGACGGTGACCGTGAGGACGCTGTGGGGACGGTGACCAGGACAATGCGGGGATAGTGTAGGGCCGGGCTCCAGCCCAGCAGTGTCCGTGAGGACGCTGCGGGGACGGCGACCGTGGGGACGCTGTGGGGACGGTGCAGGGCCTGTCAGGCATGTGTTCAGTTGTGCTGGGGTCACTGTGAGCCAGTGGCAACTCGATGGCACCTAACAATAAATGTGTCCCCAGGGTTAGAAATGCTTCCATCATCCTGTCTTTCAGCCCCTAGAATCCCTCCAGAGAAGAGGATTTTCACAACCACACACACACCGAATTGCCTATTCCAGGAGGTGGATGAGAGGTAAGTGGTCAAGTGCCCTGGTGTCCAGAGGCTCCCGTGTGCTCTGCTGTCTTCTCCCTCTTGGACATTTGTCTCGGGATCAGTGTCCCCTCTGTCACCATCCCCTTCCTTCACCATGGTGCCTGCTGTCTCATCTCCAGAGTTAGTGCCGTGTTTGGGGCATGAAAGCCACTTAGGTCATGCGTTTGAGGATTTGGGTTCTTGTGTGTAAGCCTTGGGTTCATGCATGTCAGTGTCTGGGGCCTTGTGTGTGAGCGTTTGGGGTCTTGTGTGTGAGCGTTGGGGTTGTGTATGTCAGCGTTTAGATGAGCGAGTGTTTGGACAGTGCACGTGAGCTGAGTGGATCCTGCGACGTGGACAAGAGCAGGGTGGGGCCCGGCCTCTCAGCTGATCGTCCTCACGTCTGCTGTCCCCAGGGCCGTCCCTCTCCTGGGCTACTTGCCTCAGGACCTGGTGGAGAAGCCTGTGCTCCTGCAGCTGCACCCAAGTGACCGGCCCCTGATGCTGGCCATCCACAGAAAGAGTAGGTCCTTGAGGGGGCCTGCCGGGTGGACACAAGCGGGGCTCTCCCGCTCCTGTGTGGCCGAGCCCTTGGCACCTCCTTTGCCCGTGGCTTCTGTTAGCAGCCTAGGGAGCTCTGGCCAAGCCAGGGACTGACCACCATGGAGCCCCATCCCCACAGACCCAAGTGCCTCTGAGCCTCTGCAGAGACCAAATGAGGGCTGCTTGCTAATTGGATCAAGCCAGCAGGGCTGTGACCCCCAGGATATGGAAGTGGGGTCAGCACAGGCGGGCGGGATGAGGCTTCTCTCCTGAGTGTCCTGTCCCCTAGTCCTGCAGTCTGGTGGGCAGCCTTTCGACTACTCGCCCATCCGCTTCCGCGTCCAGAATGGCGAGTACATCACCCTGGACACCAGCTGGTCCAGCTTCGTCAACCCCTGGAGCCGCAAGATCTCCTTCATCATGGGGCGGTACAGAGTCAGGGTGTGAGTGCCCAGGGCCTGGCCGGAGAGGGATGGCCGCTGAGGAACCAGGGCTGAGAGCGGGGAGTGTGGGTCACCTCCAGCCATGCTCTGAGTCACGTGCCTGGGCGTGGGGTGACATAGCCTTGTTGGGGGTGGGCAGCGACCTCCAGCCATGCTGTGGCCTGGGCGTGGGGTGACCTAGCTTTGTTGGGGGTGAGCAGTGACCTCCGTTTCTGAGGGTGAACAGGAGAGAGGGGAGGGCGGTGGGCCACCTGGGGTGGGAAGCCTATACAGAGCCTCCTCTGATGGCCACTGACCTGCACAGGGGGCCCCTGAATGAAGACGTGTTTGCAGCCCCACCTGGCATGGAGAAGTCCCCACACCCCAGTGTCCAGGAGCTCACTGAACAGATCCACCGGCTGCTGCTGCAGGTGGGTCTGGGGGACGCTGTCTACCCAGGTTGGTGACCTCTCACCTGTGTTCACTCAGTGTCCACTGAGCCAGTTCCCCTGTTGGTTTCGGAACTACCACCTGACCAGCTCTGGGCCACCCCAAAACAGTCCTGAGGCTTTGCCTGGTTCTGGAGAGCCGAGCCCCACACGCGTGGCGGGTCTGCATCGGCCTCCCAGTGTGTTTTGAGGGGCTGCCTCTGACCTGTCACCAGCCCCATAGGGGTGCCCTGCCATCCACAGTCCACTGGGCTTGGACCCCAAGGAGGGCACCTCTCTGTCCAGAGAGCAGGTCATGGGGGCCCAAGGTAGCTGGGAGGCTCTTGGGGAAGGTCCACGTGGATGGCCGGAGTCCTGGGCTCTGTGGGTCCTGCATCTCCACAGTCCTCAGCCGTGTAACCATGCCCACACTTCACAGAACCAGGAGTGGCCCCAGCTTAGGGTGTCCCTTGGTACCAGACATCCGATGGTTCAGGTACTGCAAGGTCAGGGCCGGAACCTGGCCCTCGGGTTCAAACCCCAGTCTCTGTTTCCATTGTCATGGTCTGTGTGGCCTTGGGTGGCCTGTGTGTGAAGTGGGTGTGAGGCTACAGCTCCTGCACCCACAGCACTCAAGTGCCGTCCACCCCCCACAGCCTGTGCCCCACAGTGGCTCCAGCGGCTACGGCAGCCTGGGGAGCAACGGCTCTCATGAGCACCTCATGAGCCAGACGTCCTCCAGCGACAGCAACGGCCACGAGGACGCCGGCCAGCAGGTAGCCGTACGTCCCCACACCTCCCACATCGATCCCATTCTCCCAGGGAGCTAGGCTCGGGTGTGAGCACCCCCGCAGCTCTGAGCCACCTACTCTGCTTCGCCCACATGTCCCACTTGGGCTTCCTTGTGTCCCCAAGAGTTACAGCCCCAGCAGCTGTTATTCACGGTCCACTGGGAATTCTTTAAAGCAGAGAAGCCAAACAGCAGGGGGGAGTGGAGGGTGGGAGAGGAAGCGAAGCCTGTTTCTCCGATGCGCCTAGTTCACTGTGGTTGTTGAGGGTGTAACAGCGGGGGGTCCCCCACTCCAGCAGCTCGGCTGACCCAGCTCAGTGCCGTTGATGCCTTTCCTCGAGTGACAGGTCCTCCCCGCAAACACAGGCCTACTGCCTCCGGGCTTCCTGTCAAACCTTTCCAACCGCTCTTCTTCATCTAGTCCCGTACAGGTAGTTTTTAATGAGTACAAAATCCAGGGAAGACCTTTATCACCACTTTATCCCTATTGTCTGGTGTAAAGAAGCATTCACAGAACCTTGTTTCTTGTTTAAGGTCTAAATATTTTCTCAAGACGGTGGTTTGGGATGTTGATCGAGCCTTAATGGCTCCAGAAAGTCAGGATTCCATGAAAATTTGAAATTCTGTTACATATTTCTCCCCCTTTTGATCAAGACACTCCCCCAAAAATTGTTATGTTGATTCGGGTTTGTCTGGATGTTTTTAATCACTGCTATTGAGGATCGTACTGCATTTCTTCTTTCTGTCCTGCAATTAAGTTCTTGTTTAGAGTAATCATTTCAAGGAGCTCTGATGGCCTAGTGGCAAGAAGCTGTGCTGTAATCTCAAAGGGGCGGGCACAGGAGGAGATTGCCTCTCCTCCCACGGAGCATCTGGTGGATTAGAAGCACCAGCTGCTCCGCGGGAGAAGGAGGGGCAATCTCCTCCTGTGCCGGTCGGATCTGATCTGACAGCACACAGCAAGGAAAAAACTGAGGACGGTCCAGTGTAATACTTTCTAGATTACTGGTACACGCTCACTACCCTCCTCGACTTGCTGGGGAGTAGAGGGTGTTAGCGTGAGTAACGTGACTGTTTGGTTTTTCTTCAAGGAAATGTGCAGGAATAGTACTGAGGCCCAAACCAGAAGTCATCGTTCCCGTGCATCCAGAGAACAAAAGAGAAAGCCAGCTGCAGGTGAGAAGGTGGTCGGAGGCCTGTGCTCGGTTCACCTTGCTGTGAGGAGTGGGCTCAGCTTCAGCTCGGGAAGCACAGACTTACCACCAAGGTTCTAACCCTGAGGTGACTCCCGTGCCCTCTTCTCCGGGCCCCATTCAACCTGGGCAGACCTGACTAGTGCTGGCCAGCTGGTTCCAACTCACAGAGAGCCCCCCACCGTGCACCCATCCCCCCACAGGGCAGAGCTGCCCGTTGAGTCTTCTTGGCCTGATCTGGACGGAGCAGCCCCAGGGTGGTGCCAGTAGCTGGCACTCAACCTCTGACTGCTGGTTCAGAACCCCAGGGGCACCGCGCTCCTGTGCGCACAGGAGGGAGCCGACTGGAGCCAGTGTGGACTTGATAGCAACTGCCAGGCCCTGGCATCTTAACAAGGGCAGCATGCCAGGCTTCATTCACCGCGTGGGTGCGGAGCGTCTCTCCTGGCCCAGTGACCCTCGAGGGGTGACCCAGCAGGGTCCCTGGGCCCTGTACCTGCTGGGTGTCTCCAGAGCCATGGTGCTGGCCCTGCTGGCCCCTCGTCTCCCGCACAGAGGGGCCACTTCACACATGTGCTCAGACGGAACATGTTTTCTAAATGTGGAGCGTTTCTTTGTGGGGGAAGAAGTAATGAAATCCCCAACAGCAATGATTTTGAAAGTTACCGCCTAACGTGGGAGGGACTGAAGGGCATTATGCTGAGTGAACTAACTCCGTCTATAAGGACAAATACTGTAGAAGACCATATTGTAGAAATAGAAAACTAGTAAAACACGTACGAGGATCCAAGGAGGGGAGGGTGGGAGCAGAGGGGTGAGGGTGGGTTGGGGGGAACCATAGGTCACACAATTTTTTGGGGGGGAGGATAAAGGAAATGGGAACGATCTGGCAGGAATCTGGAAAGGGAGGGTCATGGTAGCCATGGTTCAATAATGATGAAGTGTATAAAACATAATGATTGTATGAAACACAATGTGAACAATGGATGATATGAAAGACAATGTATATGAACTTTGTAAGCAAACCAATATAAAATAATTTAAAAAAAAAAAAGAAATGAAATCCCAATGTTCTCACAGAACCGCAGAGTCAGCCCCCAGCCCCGGTGACACCAGTCCTGGCTTCAGACAAGGACGGCCCAGGCTCTGGGGTCCCCAAGGCCGCCTTCTCCGAGGAGCTGGCATGCAGGGCCCAGCCGGCCTGCTCCTATCAACAGATGAGCTGCCTGGACAGTGTTATCCGGTGAGCATTCCCTCGCTGCTCACGCCCCATCCCCACTCAGTGCTGTCAGTCCTCTTCACGTTCATCGGTCTGTCCACCCCTCTGTCCTCGCAGGTACCTGGAGAGCTGCAGTGAGCCCACCACGCTGAAGAGGAAGTGCGAGTTCCCGGCCAGCATCCCCGCCCTGAACCCCAGCGACAAACGCAAGGCGACAGGAGGTAGCTATAGCTCTGAGCTGCGAGTTTGTGACGTTACCTCAGGGGTCTGTGCCACGTGGGGTCTGAGGCCACATGACCCAGGGCCACCTGCACGAGTGTGTGACGTTATCTCGGGTCTGTGCCATGTGGTCCTCGCTGAGGCCTTACCACGTGACCCAGGGCCACCTGCACGAGTGTGTGATGTTGTTACCTCTGGGTTCTGTGCCACCTGGGGTCTGAGTCCTTACCATGTGACCCAGGGCCACCTGCACAAGTGTGTGACGTTACCTCAGGGGTCTGTGCCACGTGGGGTCTGAGGCCACGTGACCCAAGGCCACCTGCACGAGTGTGTGATTTTTTTCCCTCTGGGGTCTGTGCCACCTAGGGTCTGAGGCCTTACCACGTGACCCAGGACCACCTCACCAGGTGGCCCAGGGCTGACCGCTGAGACCTCGCCACGTGACCGAGGGCAGCCTTGCTGGTGGCTCGGGCCAGCCCTGGACTACATGGTGAGGCCTACTTCAGCCTGCCTCGGGGAGCACTGGCCTCCCCACAATCCGAGCAGAGCCCCCGATGTCATCTGCGAAGCTGCTGCTAGTCACTGCTGGGTCAGAAAACAGAGTGTCGCATTCGGCCAGGCTGGGCAAAAGCATGCGCTTGTCACAGGCATGTGAGGCAAGCTCTGCGCTGGCACCAGTCAGAGCCCGTCAGGCCCAGACCTCCAGGCAGCTTGTGGGGAACAGCAGGTTCTAGCAGAGAATCCTGCTCCCCACATTCCCTGTAGCTGCTCAGCTGTGGGACCCCTGGGGACACAATTAAGCACTTGACCATATGAGCCAAAAGATTGGCAGTTCAGACCCACCTAGAGACACTGGCAAGTTGCTTCTGAAAAGTCAGCACCTCAGTTCTCTGGTGTGCTGTGACAGAGACACCCCACGTGAGTGAGTCTTGATTATTTATTACCGCTGTAACGGAGTGACCACAAGTACAGAGAGCTTCAACAGACAGAAAAGTGTTCTCTGACAGTGTAGAAGGCCAGAAATCCAAGCTCCAGGTGCAGCCTGGGGAAGGTGCTTTCTGCGTGTCACTTCTGGAGGAAGGCCCTGCCTGTCCCTTCGGCACCTGTCGGCCTACAGTTCTTGGAATCTGCATGTGTCCTGCATGTGTCTGCCGTGCAGCCGGGAGGAGCTCCTATAGAGAGTGATTTGGTGCAGACCCTGCGCCCCAGCGACTCTCTCGGCGGTGCTGAGCCTCCTGTTCACCTCCCACTTTTGTCTCTTGGAGCTCCGAGGTGATGCAGCCGTTCCCTCGGGACCCCTGACATCACGTCAGGGCTGTGGAGGGATTAGGGTCTTGCATCTAAATCTGCCCTTTTCACAGCTGTTTGGTTTATCAGGTCCTGTAGGTCATTTCATCATTACAGGGCAGGACACATCTGAATCCATGACAGTCACCAAACCCAAGCCATTGCTCTCGAGTCAGTTCTAACCTAGGGACCTCACACGCAGAGTAGAGCTGGTTTGTGGGCTCTGTGAGCTCTGTGCAAGGACAGCTAATGTAGGGCTTGGGGGAATGTGCTGCCGGCGCAAAGGCTGGAGGGTGGCATGGACAATGAGGACAGACTCACTGATGGGACGGAGGGTGTCGGAGGTGGAGAGGGTGGCATGGACAGTGAGGACAGACTCACTGA